AAACAATTGGCTTGTATAAAGGGTTTATGGTTTTGTCCCTTCGGGTTGTCTAAGTTCATGCTGTTGTCTTTCTTTTGCTTTGAGTTGTGTTGGTTTAACCTCGTTTGAAGGTTTTGTGTTTTCTTTTGTGCTGATGTTGTCCAGGCTATCGTATTAGTATTATAATGATTGTTTATTTAATCCTTTTAACCTGTCTTTTGTTTTTTCCCTTTTTAGTATTATTATTGATCCCGGCATTCTGACTTTTAAATTAAAGTTTCTACAGAAGCTTGTAATTTGAATATTTGTTAAAAACCCTAGTTATTCCGTTTTTCATTTACCCCGGTCAATATTTTTCATATGTGTGTGTTTTTAACGTGAAATATTCTATCTGTTACTTTGTTGTACATTAATGTAAGTAATCATTCTAATCGGATATTTTATGTTCGTAAATCGTTGTTACATTTCAAAATATATAACCTAAATTCATAAATTTGCAAATGTTGGTATCGAGATCACCGAATTATAAACCTGACGATGTATTAACCGGTCAAATACTTCGGTAACAGAAACATCCTATATGGACACGTCAAACCACAATTCAAAATCAATAGCATTGAAGAATAATAAAGAAGGTCAGTTTATGAAGACAACATATCTTTGAATTGGTGGCATACTTTCTAACCATAAATTGCTTTTAATTAACATACAGGTACAAAAGAATGACAATTGATGTGTGTAAAAGTTTCACGTAAGATGAACGTAGCAGTCACAGGTGACCGCACCGTTCAAATTTGCTAAAACGAGATATTGGTATCATAAACGCTCTTAAACTCTTCATAAACATTGTTAAGTAATTAAATTTCCACAAACAAGAGCATATAAAATCACTGTTATCTGAAGAAAAAATCACCATGTCAGATTTAAGTTGATTCAGCAAACAAGCCGAATGGAAGGTTTTATAACCAACTAATTGAAAAGGGTAATAGGTTTGAATACATTTTTATTCAAGAAATTGAAACGATATAATAGTTCCTTAAACTTTATATCTTTTGTGAATTGTTTTATTACAAGATCAGCATATTAACCTTAAATACTATTTGATTACAAGTTATCATTTTAACATATATATAAATGTATTGATAACATAAAGTATGAGTATAAAAAACAACTAGTTTTTTTATAACATTGACTACAGTAGACTTAATTGAAACGATATCTTTCGGTAATGAATTTCTTATTATTTATTGTGGTTTCATTGATTACTGAGTTTACCTAAATGTAAGATTACGTTTAACTAATTCAGACTTACATGTGTGCCCTGGGGTGCCTTGTACCTGTCTAATAATATATATTTACAACATACCTAGGGCAAAATAGCATAAAATAACTCTTTCATGAAAATATAAAAAAATACATTTCCTTGTATATAAATATATTGATAGAGTCCAGTAAACAATGATGCATTATTACCTCATACGAAAAAACTGACATAAGATAAATAAAAATAAATAAAATAGCGGATACCGATACGAAATCGATGCCGTATATAATTCTCTTTTACGTATTGACTTCAATCGATTTATTAATTTATTGATTTCACCTTATCGTAATACCACGCTTACTTATTTACATTGACACGTGTGCCCGGGAGTGTCTTGTACTATACGTGTTTACAATTTATGTATACAACATCCCCGGGGCAAAAACGGTACTTAACGATTTATCTGGTCAGGCATTATAACGACCTTATAAGATTACTGTGTGTAATGCGACACTTTACATAAAAAACAACATAAACCGAACCCCTCATCAGACGGCAAGAAATTGGAGACCAAATAACATCATCTTCAAAAACGTTAGACCTGGATCTTATTGAAGAAAGTGGTAGAAAAATGAATGTGATACACATTTTAACGATATCAAATGTTATCAATTTTACGCAAACAATGATGTACTGACAAAAGTTCATTCACATTAGGATAATTCTTTTTTCATGATGTTATTTGTCAAATTACCATAGACTTTCTCTTTTTAACGTTTTTTAAAATAAACACGTCATACTTACATTAGTACTTAATAGATTAAAATTATTATTCAACATGTTCTTATTACTATAATTATATTATATATATATATATAATAAATGAACCAAAATACACATTGCGTTTATATCATTGATATAGTTGCTCTTCTTTATAGAATAAAATAAATTTATATTGTATTTTTTTAATAGAACTATTGTTATTGAGGGTAAGATATTAATAAAATGTTATAAATTAAAAGTTTATACATTTTCTTTTTAATAAGTACATACTATTTAACACCTCTATTAACTATTTTGGATATTTAAACAAGAAACAAACTTATGATATGTATTTTCATTTCCTTTAACTTGTAATGCGTCATCTCTGAGTGAATTCTTGAACGCCACACTGCTTATTCGTAGCCTTAACCTTTTCCTGATGTGAATAATACGGTCAGTTGACATTTACCTTAAAATATAGTAAGAATGAATTATAACTAAATAGGTTAATCAATGTTCATATATATCAATGTATAGCGTAAACACATACATGATTACCTGTATATGAGTACTGTTTTGATACTTGGCTGTGTATGTGTGCACTCTATAATTTTGTTTCGCGGAAAATGTGAAGTGCTTTAGTTCTGTCTCACTTTGAATAGGCGAACGTTAGTCGTACTTGCCCATCCATAATTTGCATGTTACAAACATATTGATTATTCCTTTTTGATAATTCAATCTACAAGTAAAAAGACAATATAACAACCTATGTCAGGAATTATTTTACTCCAACACAGCCAATGTCCGTTGGTACAAATGAAATACTTCATGCATGTGTTTAGTGATTCCCCAAATCTGGATGTATTTTTCAAGGTATAGGCAATGAAGATAATAACAAAAATGATTATATCCATCAGTGGCTTTTTCTTGCACGACATATAAGTTGAAAAATATTTATTTTCATAATAGTGTACAGGAAAAAGTCTCATACCTCAAATTAAAATGACCTTTTCTCTGAAAATCCAAGTTTTAATGCTTCGTGTCAATAACTTGAGAAGAAAACATGACTAACGTGACAGATTATATTTCATAACATATTATGTCATGAATCAAGTAACGGATATTTTAGCAAAAATATTGATAATTTTGAATTAATTTAAGTTACTAACCAGGACTCCCGTCCGTGGCAGCCCCTGTTGTGGGTGAAATAATATTTTTTAAACCTAATAAAACATTTCAACCTATGGAGATAAACACAAAGATATCATTTTTTGCAGTGATCTAGAAACTGATAAGTATTCACCAATATTGAAATTTAATTCATGAATGAAATATAAAAGGATATTACTGCTGTTTACTGATTTCAGATTGCATCAAGCTTAATATCCTCCAGTTTTTAAATATGCAGTAAATTTGTAATTAATGTAATAAGAACAACAAAACAAATCCATGGATTTCCAACAGGTTTAATAGAGATAATATCGGAGCCTGGGTCTCAAGATTGTCGGTTTTATTAAATGTATATATACACTTATGTGGAAAGAGGTTAACTATCATCACAGCTATATATAAACGCAGTTTTATTGGAATGTTTATAAATAATCTAGGATTCATGACACTTTGACATTTTATACCATATAAATATATAACAACCTTCGGCAACACACACGATGATACTTTAGTTGGTTTAATTATGTTATTTGCAGTTATACTGTTGTTTGTCCGTATGATTATTGCCGTTATACTGTTGTTTGTCAGTATGATTATTGCCGTTATACTGTTGTTTGTCAGTATGATTATTGCCGTTATACTGTTGTTGTCAGTATGGTTATTGTCGTTATACTGTTGTTTGTCAGTATGATTATTGTCGTTATACTGTTGTTTGTCAGTATGATTATTGCCGTTATACTGGTGTTTGTCCGTATGATTATTGCCGTTATACTGTTGTTTGTCAGTAGGATAATGGCCGTTTTAATGTTGTTTGTCAGTATGATTATTGCCGTTACACTGTTGTTTGTCAATATGATTATTGCCGTTATACGGTGTTTGTCAGTATGATTATTGCCGTTATACTGTTGTTTGTCAGTAGGATTATTGCCGTTATAATGTTGTTTGTCAGTATGATTATTGCCGTTATACTGTTGTTGTCAGTAGGATTATTGCCGTTATAATGTTGTTTGTCAGTATGATTATTGCCGTTATACTGTTGTTTGTTAGTATGATTATTGCCGTTATACTGTTGTTGTTAGTAGGATTATTGCCGTTATACTGTTGTTTGTCAGTATGCTTATTGCCGTTATACTGTTGTTTGTCAGTATGATTATTGCCGTTGTACTGTTGTTGTTAGTAGGATTATTGCCGTTATACTGTTGTTTGTCAGTAGGATTAATGCCGTTATAATGTTGTTTGTCAGTATGATTATTACCGTTATACTGTTGTTTGTCAGTATGATTATTGCCGTTATACTGTTGTTGTTAGTAGGATTATTGCCGTTATACTGTTGTTTGTCAGTAGGATTATTGCCGTTATACTGTTGTTTGTCAGTATGATTATTGACGTTATACTGTTGTTTGTCAGCATGATTTTTGCCGGTATACTGTTGTTTGTCAGTAGGATTATTACCATAAAACTGTTGTTTGTCAGTAGGATTATTGCCGTTACACTGGTGTTAGTCTTTATACCCTTTATACTGTCCATATATTATGTCGCACGAATCAGCTGTGCTAGCGGAACACTAACCAATATAAACTCTATTAAAATAACTGATTGTTACCATGTGACAGGATCTATATGTTGCAGTGAACATCGTTGACTTCTAAGATAAAGTGTTATAACTGATGTTAAAGGACATTGATAAGCAAAACCTGTAAGCAGCTGTGTTCTTCAGTACTACTCTGGAAATGTTTAAACGCTGTCGATGAATATATACTTTTACTCAAATCAATTAATTTGTATAACGGATATTTTAACTAAAATAAATGCCAAATTATGTCACTTATGATGAGTTAGCGTGAACTCGCATATGCCTGTTGAGATTACCGGATTGTGAAAAACGAAGGAGACAAAGTTTACATTGGTAGGGTTTTTCTCCACTATGGATCCGGAGGTGCTTAGTGAGCGTAGAACTGTCTGAGAACGCTTTCTTACACAACCTACACCTGTAAGGCCGCTCCCCTGAGTGAGTGCGCATGTGCGTGGTGACGCTTGAACTCTGTGAGAATCGGCGATCGCAGATCGGACACCTGAACGGCTTTTCGCCGCTATGTGTCCGAATGTGCGCCGTTAGATTTGCTGCCTGAGAGAAGGACTTGTCACATGTTGAACACCTGTATGGTTTCTCACCTGAGTGTGTCCTCAGGTGTGTCTTCAGCGTACTAGGGCGCGCGTACGTCTTCCCACATATCCTACACAGATTGACCTTATTATTTTCACTTTGTAACGTTGCATGTGCGTGTCGGCCGCCAAAGAACTTTGACCTTTTCCAATGATTAACAGCACAGAGTCTCGCTGCCTCTTTCAAGTTATCGTGAGGCCGGTAAAATATTCCCCTAGAATCTGAATTAGACAAAGGTCGTAAATCCGAGGGTATGGGATACGAGGCTTGATATGAGTGATTCTGGGGACAGTTGTACTGAGGGGAGAGAGGCGCCATGTTGTACTGAGGATGTTGGTATTGGGGAGTTATCGTCCGAGGCGGTGGCTGTTGTTGTGGGCTTGGCCACTGTTGGTGATGAACTGGGTTATACTGACAATTGCTGACCCCGTGAGGCGGCATCCCTACATTCATGCTCATAGATACACTAACGCTCATAGAAGGAAACATGTTCGACTGTGGTTCACAGGGGTAAGGGGGCACGCCATATTGTGGAGACTGTTGAGAAGGGTAAATGTTCTGTGGCATCTGTGTGTTGGGATTGAGTGCATACCCAATGCTCTGGGGATGTTGTCCATTGTTCGAACATGGTCCAGTAGGTGCCTGGCCAATATGCATGGTTGGTGATAGAGGCGATAACTGTCCACCGAGACCCGGATGTACCACTGCGTGCTTCAAAGAGAGAAGGGCGTCTGCTATGTCCTGTGGAGACTTCTCTTTAAACGCGGAAAATTCCCTGGAAAGACATACAATGCTAGTATATATCTTAAAATACATTCGGGTTCTAGTTAAAGCCCTATAATTCTGAATAGAATTATAGTTTAAAAATCATGAACACTGACGAACTTTCTTTATAGAAATCAAATGTCAGGTTATGAGTTGATATATCTTGTTAAGTAGGTACACAATTTGGAACAATATACGATTTGACAAGTTTCGGCGATACTGGATTGGTTACATAACGAGGCAAGACATATTTAGTCGATAAATTCTTTTCGGACAATTGTTGCATAAAGGATTAATATAATGCAGATAACAAAAGTAAACAAATGTGACATTTAAAAAAAAAAGAATGAACAAGTAGAGGTAACCGAGGAGTGGTCTCTCTCTAAGCGTGTGCCTAGCAGCCAGGAGGGACCATGAGTAGGAGATAATATGACCCTGAAAACGTCAGTATAGACTGTGAAATATGGAACTATAACTCCGAACTTAAATCAATTGCATTGCTCAAAGGATTATTAATAGAAAAACGCCAATAAATGAATAAATGAGGACGTACATATATAATTAAAAGAAATTAAAACCGATGTTTAAATGTGTTAACAAACCACAATGAGTTGAGCAATCCATTTTTATCATAAAGATTAACGTAAAAAACATACAGGTGAGTGCAACTGTAAAATTTGGTAAAAAGATACAGATTGCAAAAAAAACACAAAAATACACTTCACTATCTAGTGCTTCGTAGGCTACCTCTAATGTGATATTGGGGCCCAAAAAGGGAGAAGTGCATAAACCCCCTTATATATACTTATAATATACTTATGGGGCAAAGAAGTAGTTCCAACAGTGTGGACAAGTTTAGGTTGTCAATTTTTCGGAGCGATCCGCTCCTTTCATCAAGACACAGTGAAACAGAACAGTTACATGTACATATACATCATATTACAAGAAGATAGAACTGATATACTATAATTGAAAATATAGCTATTATATAAAACCAATAGTTCCCTCGGCTAAAGACAGTAGAAAGCTTATATATACTTATATATACTTATATATACTTATATATAATTATATATACTTATATATACTTATATATAATTATATACGGATTTCAGATATCAGTGAAGTACTGGTTAATTTGAAATTGACAATGAGTTAAGTGTGTATAATATGAACCGTACCACCAATAAAACACATAACTGTTGGTATCACGGTTTCGCTGATAAAAATGTATAAGTTCAGGAATTGTCGATTGAATAATAGTTTCTATTGGGAAATCCCATTGTGGCTCATGACGTCACAATTCAAGTAATAATCAAGTATCAATAATAATAACATGGTTAAGCGTTACGACATTGATTTTCCGGTCAGAGTGTCCATGTTTAAAAGAATAATTTCCACTTTCATCATAAGCTTACCTCAGTACAATTATAAATAAGTTTGGTATTTTTATCATACATTACTGAATTTTCCAACGTAAAACGAATAAGTAAATAAGTTATTTATTAATTGGAATAACATATCAGTAAATTATACATTCAACTTAAAGGACTTTGGGCGTAATGTGTCATTTTGGCCTAATAAAAAGTAAAAAATGTCAACTTGAATTTATCAACCAATTTCTGTTTTAAACATCATATTGGTAAATTGACGTTATCTTTCTTGATGCAGATATTTTCCAATGCGCATGCGTAGATGCTTAATCATAGCAACAAAATTGCGTTGCTATGCAGAAATAGCCAAAATAAGGTGTTTTTTGACAGTTAGCATGCAGAAATGAAAGCCTCCGCATGTGACAAACAAAAATTCCTTTCTACGAATGAACACTGGTATGACGATGTTTAAGCATGTCAACTATTTATTTGTTTGTTACATGGGGCGGCTTTCAAAAAATGAAGAGTGTTTTGTTAATTTCCTTAAAAATGGCACATTTTCAACCAATTAGCGCACAACAGACGATATTCAGACATTTTGTTATGAAAATGCTTGTTCATGTCTCTCTTTGTAATGCTATATCTCCTAAACCAGTTGTCGAATGATTTTGAAATTTTATATTTGGGTACATCATTTATTCCAGATTACGAATATAACAACTAATTCTAAAATCTCGATGAGGCCAGAAATGATCATTAACGCCCCTAGTCCTTTGTTGATGAATCTGAATTTGTAATAATTTATTATTTTTAGTTTTCATTACATGAAGTAAACAGAAAACAATTGTAATGTGTTTGCGAAGGCATTTATCATATAGAGGCATCAATTTCATGGGTGTAAATAGAGGTTTCTAAATGAGTTATGGCTGGTTATCACGTTTATCTAGCAGGAGTTAATTAATTTTCAAATTGTATAAAGACAAGAAAAACCTCATGCCTTTATACGATTTGAAAATTAATAAATTAACTCGAGTTAAATCAATATCATAATCACCCACAACGAGTTTTGGAAACTTTTTCTCTCACTATGTTTAGATATTTTATCTTGAAAACCTTATGTTGCCGTTGTGAATACCTAATTACTAAAGACGATCGGAAAAACAATTGTCATGCGTTATGACCTCAGAAAGGAAGATGACGTCGAAAAGTATAGTTACTTTGCGTCATAATTATAAGATTGACCAATGAATAACGTCCAGGGTGTTAACCGCTGTTGGGTAACCAGAATTGGTTATCAACTCCAAGCAATAATTCGGCAGCGAGGAAACCTATAGTGGTTGTAGGAAGAAAGAAGATTCCCGGGAATTATTCAATAGGTTAAAGCTTAGAAAACTCTCCTCATAATCGGTATGAACAGTTCCTTATCCCGTCTTCTGTGAGTACACACGGACATCATAACATTATATATCGACAATTGCTAATGATGGACAAACAAACGTCCTTGCAAATATTTGAAACTAATTTTGTTTTTTCTCTTTTGAACTCTACACTACAGCAGCAGGCAGGCTAACTATGTCTGAATGTATTTGGTTTATATATTATTTTCTATAATTAAACATTGTATGTAATTTCAGCATGGAATGTTCTCAGTGCTATCAACCTTTGTGTGATATCGTTGTAAAAAAACATATAAATCTAGACGCAGATAACCCGTCAATTAACTTTTCTTCAGATGTTGACAATTTTGAATCACGCAGTATGAATGTTATATCTACGGTTTGATAGTTCATAAGCAGTTCCATTGTATTATTGCCTGATACGACCTGGATATACGAGGACTGTCTTGAAGACCTTCTCACCAGGCACAGTACATTTTTCGAGAACAATGTAAACAATCTTGGGCCACCGTATTTAAATACTGGATATTAGATATAGAACCTGTCAGTGATAGTTTGTACAGGAGACTACAAGGTGGCCTGAACATTTGTTACCTTAGTATGTTTAACTTTATTTGTATTTCTGGCTTTTGAAGTTTGTTATGGAATTCATTATTCTGAAATTTGTCAATGCTACTAAAATCTATAAAAAATATATGTATAACAAAATAATGTTTACAGGTTTCGTTAATTGGTTTTTTCTCCATCATTTTCAAACCAGACATATTAAACAATAAATAAGACATTTTTATCAAGCGTTTTATATCTGATGACAGGAAATATAATGGAATAGTTATGCCAATTTTTTTTATCCGAAACAAATGTCCGTAAACTAACAACAGAAAAGGCTAAATCCTATATTATATATATTTTTTTGGATCAAAAGTAATGTTCACATTCATGACATTTCGAAGTTTTCATTATATTTCATGGAAGACATTTCAGTGTACGTATTTGTCATACAAAATCTACGTTTCCTGTATCAAACTTCGATTAAGTTCAAGGTGGAATAACACTCTATAAACTCATCAACATAACATAAAAGAGCATTTCAAATATCATGTTTGATCATTGAAATATCATAATATTTGACATATTTTACGATGAAATATGAGACATATACTATACACGTAATCAATTCATAACAAAAATGTCAATGACCTATTGCATCGGCATAGGAAAGGTAGTATTATACAAACCTCAGTGGTTTCCTTCATCCGAAAACATATTTTGAAAGTATCCATTACACGTGTAAACGAAAAAGAAAATCATTTACAAAGATCGCTGATGTAAATCCATCTCCAGGCCACTATGACATTTGGTACTTTTGTTCGATGAATCCATGCACATTTATAATAATCTATAAACCCAACGTCGGATATAACAATCCATCGTGTTCTTCAGAACAGAAGCATAACTCAAAGATTTTCTTAGAAATCTATGCCATAAAAAGTAGTGAAGATATGGAGTACAACCAGAACAAGGCATTTCTTACCATTGCCTACTATTCTGTGACAAACACGGCTTCATTAACATAATAAAGCTGCATGGCCGTCATCAACGCTTGTGACGGCAGATTAGAACTTAGTCTTATAAAGACAGTGTTCTGTCAATCCTACGAAAAATAGATTTGACAGACTAAGGTTCCATTCACCTGATCACGTGTCCAAACTTTAAATCTCACCACATTTATTGACATCCCCACTGTTGTATATTGATGACCAAGAACAGATATTTAAAGCATAATTAGCTTCATTGAAATGAGGCAAAAGTTATAACTAAAACTGTTACCTTTATGTATGACATGGCCAGTGTGATTCAGTAAAAACAGATAATTTTGAATACCAGCATGCTTAATGTTAATGTAATAATACAAAACAAAAATACATCTATGTAACAATAATTCTTCGTTTTTTTTCAAAGTAAGCACAGTAGGCTTTAAGCCAGTGGCCGAGTTTATGTATTTTAAATCAAGGCAAATAGAATGCTCTCTCATAGCCTAATTAAAACGGTTATCAGCCCTAATCAAATACTTTTAACAAACAGATAATTTTATTTAAATTCGACAATACGTTGACATCTTTGTTGGCCCCTGACACCGGGGGACTTATCTTTCGACGGGCACGACCTGTGTAACCTGACCCATCATTTTGCTCCCTCGAGTGTTTGTAGAAAGCAGCTATTTAGCAAACAATCCCACCCCCCAAAACACTTCACCCAACATTACCTGAATGTGTTTGAGCATTAATGTGTGAAAGGGTCAATATACTTATCTTATAAACTTGAGTCAGTTACTTCTCAATAGTTTTATCCCCAGTGAAACGTAGCTTAGTACCACTTCATCAAATTGTTCAAGACAAAAATAACTTTTTTTCAATTGCTAATCATTCGCCGTAGGTATTGACATGGCTTTGTCAACACAGAATTAACACGTATTAGAAACCTATCCGACATCTCAAAGATAAGGGTCAACTTTCTCGGTTTATTAACATATCTAATCAACATTTCTCAATACAATCATTTTATTTATTGTAAACTTTCCATTTCTTTTTGTCCAACTATTTGTTTAGATCTATATCTAGAGAGCACCTGATTTTATGATGTTCCATATTTTTATTATCGGAAAATTGCACAAATTTATTTAATATTATTTTATCAAAATAATAGGACACCCACGTGGGGACCAGTGACATTTTTTAACAATACTGAGCGTTACAAAAATGCTCTGCGTTTCTTTGTCTGAGGTCTATGTATACAAGTGTAAAGGTTTATCTAACGTCTAATTCAAAAGGCGCTCACTTACTTATTGTGTATTTCTTGTGATTGTTCTTCTCAATAAATTCCATACAATGTTAAATGTTTACTTATCAATTGATCACTCAACTGTTATGGATAAATCATACAAAACATTGATATTAGAATATTTAACTGATCGACGAGACGCCAGCAGTATTAACAATTGCAAACTCTTAAAGCCAAATTTCCACAGGACGGAAACAATTTCCAGTCACGATATTAAATAATGTCCAGTTTTATGTTGACGTCATTCTGTAATGACGTTTGTTCTCACCTGTATGATGGCCCACACGGGGAGAACGTGAAGACGTTCGGGACGGGGTCAAACTCTATGGTTGTCACAGGATATGACCCCACGTTTAGTTCGTACGGAGAGCGCGAGAGGTCCGGGTAGGCTTGCTTGACATCCGGAGAATTGCCTCTCCAAACGTCATCATATCTTGGACTTCCAGGCGGATACGTTTCCATGTCGGAATAATGTTTCTGAAATCAAATTTACATGAAGTGTTTTGGTGTACAGATGAGGAGCATCGATAGTGATGTTTAAAGCCAAAATAAGTCTTTTTTGATACGCTCATATTTCAACAATACAGAAAAACAATATTTAGAACGACAAGCATTAGTTAAGAATGAAATTTTCGATATAAACTCATATTTGATCTGTTTTAGAGAGATAAGAAGTATAGCCATGTTCAGCCAGCATAACTTAAATAAGTTGGGAACGAAACAACAAAAACACCCAATAGTAAATGCCGGATAACCTTGTCGTAAACATTTCACAAATTAATATTTGTGGTAATCTTCCGACAGTAACAAATATTTAAAAAAATACTTTTTTCCAAAACCAAAGTATTCTCTTTTCAGAAGTTACTATATTTGATTACACAAAAGTCTTTTTGGAACCATGGTATATTTTTGAAAACTGTAATAAAAATATAAAACAATTATTTATACGGAAATGGAAGGAATGATGTATAGCAAAATGTTGTTACTTGAAACATTGCAAAATTTTACTGTCAGCATCTCTCGAGTGTGCTGTCGTCCTATATTTAAAAAAAGTAAGGTAAAATTGGTAAAAGAATAGAGTAATTCATTGCAATTAAATACATACTCGATTATTTGAAACCTGATTGAAGCAAATAAAGCGCAATTAGATTACGGATGATTACGGCTTCATTAACAATAAAAAGCTATTTAGTATAAGTATAATATAAAAATAAATAATAATATTTGTGTGTTAACCTGTTATAATATAAAAATAAATAATAATGGTTGAGTGTTAACCTGTTATAATATAAAAATAAATAATAATAGTTGAGTGTTAACCTGTTATAGTATAAAAATAAATAATAATAGTTGAGTGTTTACCTGTTTTAATATAAAAATAAATACAAATATTTGAGTTTTAAGCTGTTATAATTTTGATTTGAAACCAAAGAGATTTAACATGCACCGAATTGTCGATATTTGGTGAAAATAAGATAAAGGTCAGTTGTGGATCAAAGAAACGTTTTCATTTGATAACAACAGTGTGGACTTCGCTTACCAAAACGACGAATGCCGCTAGTAAAGTCAAGTTAAGAAATTGCAATAAAAATTGAATAAAAATCCGAAGAAGATATAAAAGATAGTCTCTTAAAAGCTGGAAAACTGACATGTGTTGCAGAGGATATGCGTGAAGATGGGAAGCAGTACACATACTGCATTTGTGTGGTTAACAGAAAGGTTATCTAATTACGAAGACTTATATTCCTGAAGAGATGCCCCGGATAGGTACACCGCTGTAATTACAAAACGTGAAGAAACATATACATCGGGCTGTTTATCACAGCTTATATAAGACGACTTACCTCTTGTATTGCGTGTTTGTTCATCCCTGAGCACTACTCCTTCTTGCATTCCCTCTTGTTAGTAATAAAAAACAATTCAGCGTGCTGATTCCACCATATAAAGTCTGATAAGTTCACTCATATAAAGCGATATTTCTAAATTGATGATACCAACTAAACGCGGAGATAAGTTAGGATATTTTATATTGAAAAATATTAATTATGATGAAATATATGAACACTTATGATCTTTGACCTTTGGACGACAGGAAACAGAGGTTCACCATTGGCCGACCAAGTTGTCTTCATTGACAATAAATAAACGATCAGACAGAAGGGTGGATTTGATTGGTTAGAGAAGGATACATGATCCGGACACCAGTCAGTTCTCCCTGTCTCCTCCATGCTCGCCCACTACCAGAGGTGAGACACACAGCATAGCTCTCGGTCTAGAGCAGCCCGCCGTGGTTCATACAAGATCTTCAGTCTTTAATTACACGCATTTCTCGCTCCATAATTGCACACGTGCGCGGACAAACGCGAGTAACGGTAGTCCGGCACGTGACTACACGTGCAAACTAGTAAACGCGCTATCGATGACAGATCAAGAAAGATGCAAATAGCTTATTTTTGCAAGGGATTATCTAACATTTCATGAAGAGGATAAATTTATCCTTTCGTTCGAATCCTGATTTATTGGCAACTTGGATTTTTTTTTTTTTTAAAGTAAACACTGCACTGACCTGTTATCAAAGGATGACCATAGATATTTTGCATTGTCCAGTCCACAGGATGGCCAGAGCTGATGAATATATTGAATTAATTGGCAATAAAACAGAATTAGTGGTGTACACCCTGTTTGTCAGTTGTGCATGCTATTTACCCACGGACGTTCACACGTGATATATCCGGGTCATGCTAAAAGTAATGTCAAATAGCAAGAGTTGATATCGGAGGCACGAAGGGAAATTCAACCTTCTCCAAATAAGATGCATTTTTATTTTTTAAAACGATAACATTCTGGTAGGTATTGCAAGAAAAATCAAAACCATTAATAGTTGTACCAATATTTCAAAGAACTCGCATCCAAATGAAAAGTAATAGTACAGGAAAATTTGCTCTTTTAATCTAGTACAGACCCTAGTTGTACTCTCCGATGTCATCATAGATATTTAACAAAATAGTTTTATTAATTTTAAAATGTAAAAGGTTAACACAGAAAGGCGATATGCTATTATAATAATAAGGGCGGTGTCTACACACGAAACCATTTTGAATATTAAAGTGTTATGAATGGAGAAAGATTAGATAAACAATATTTCATTATTTTTTTTTAATTTTGGAAAAAAATATTTTGGATATTGGAAACATTTAGAGATAAAAAGACCCACTGATTCTTACTTTTATTTTCAAATTTTGTTATATTATAACTTGATGATTAATCTCTTTTGTTGTGTCAAAACACGGAAGTTCTTCTGCCTTGTAGATTTCAAGTATTTGAAATATAACCCAAAAGAGATTAATAACGAAAAGAACAGATACATATTTCCAATAAAGCACGGACAATATTCTAATCATTTATAAGTAGTCGTATGGAAGCCGCTATGTTCCATAATCTCTGTATCGAATTAATTTGTTTATATCTTTTTAATATTCTGTTTGACACAAATATTTTAAATAAAATACTAAAAATAAAATATAATGTTTTAATAAGAAAAACACCGGCTCTCCAGATTATACATGTATTCCCAAAAAAGGATATTCAAATTTTTCTTCAAATGTATTTTTTTTTTAAACCGTATGGAATAAGTAATATAGACTGGCAATTAGCTGAAAGCTAATTTTTATTCCTTTCCTCAAGATTATATAAAAACATTTCCAATTCAATTTAGAATGAACATTTATTTGTTTGACATTCACGTGTATGATTTTAGTGAAGACTATATCCTCTTTTATCATTGTGGGCTTTTGACAAAGTACAACAGAAAAGATAAAAATCAGCATAGCCAACAAGCAAGGAATAAAAGAAAATTGTCGTCATTTCAAAGGACAACAAGATCTCCTCGGTTTCTGTTATTGTTGTCTTTCCGTTAGTTTCCACATCTCCCCAGTTTCTGTTATTGTTGTATTTCCGTTAGTTTCCACCTCTCCCCAGTTTCTGTTATTGTTGTCTTTCCGTTAGTTTCCACATCTCCTCAGTTTCTGTTATTGTTGTCTTTCCGTTAGTTTCCATATCTCCCCAGTTTCTGTTATTCTTGTCAAGTATCGATTTCAATTTATCTTTTGTTTATCACAAATTGTTAAAAATTTTAGTATACTAGTTTGAGGTTGAAATGTGGAACAGCTTATTGGATAATATCGATTACTATTGCAAAATCAGAATAAAGGCCATCATATCTGCGGTCTAAAAATGAACGTTTTCTTTAGTTTGGTTATTTGTAAACGTACCATCATTACACGACGTATTAAATTTGTTGGAACATCAAAACCGGTCAATTATGTACATTTTGAAATAGCTTTTTAATCTTGTAATACGTATCGCAAAGGTGAAATATGCTGCTGTAATATGGATTGCCATATGGATTGTTTTATGATTGATTTTAATAAGCATAACTTATACTGCTGTTATATTAATTTCCATACTATATTATGTTATATGTATTTGTTTTGCCCACAGGTTGACCGTTCCTGTCAACTTTTCGTTCATATCCCTTTAATTGATTGAAGAATTGTAAGGGGAATTTTAGTTCTATGAAATAAACAAACGATGAATTTACTCATGGTACATTTAATCAACTTTAATGTTCAAATTCAAAATAAGTAGGAAAATGATCGTAACGTCATAGACAAGGAAATCGGAAGTTTGACAAATTACACCAATAAAATGGCATTAAGAGCCAACAAGCAGAGTACAAAGCTGTTTCTATTTTCAAAATTTGTAACTCAGACATATTTCTTTCCTGAAAATAAGAATTTGCAATTTCAGTGATAAAGTTAGCTTTATATAATTTTATAATTTTGTAAATATGTTTTGCCTTCATCTTGAACACCTTAAAATATCAATGTCGTTTGTATCAAATAACTACATAGAAAAATGGAACCTTATATTTAATAAATAAAGGTATTGCCCAGACTTTTTACCCGTATATGGAATAATCATTTTGAAAGGTTTCGCTGAAAACATGAAACATATGATTGTGTTAAGATGAATAAGACTTGTCCATCCAGTAATTTTCATTGGAAGTCAGATACACATTTGTGGAAAAAGTAAACAATTCCTTAATCGTGTTAAACATTGACATTTCATAGTTGGAAATCACGGGGACAAAGTCGGAACTGCATGTTAACACCAAATTCAATGACATGAAACATGGAGACCAAAAAAATTAAATCAAAGTAAGTATGTCAGCGTCTAAATTTCTTCAACGAAGATTGGCGCCTCGATGGCATATATTCTAGCTATATAAGCAGGGTGTTGGTCGATAGCTAACAGGCTATCTAGCGAAAGTCTTTAACTTCGAATATGCTACAGAGACGCAAATCACGCAGGTATACTGATTCGTTACTGATGTGTAACGTCTGGGGAGTTAATGATCTCAGAAGTAAATCATGTTTGTTGTCATAGAAGTTGGTAGTGAA